TCCAGGAAATCAACTTGATGGTATCAATTTGATGATGCATGCCTTCTCATCTTTCAGGTCTCGGTGGAAACAGCGTTTCTCTAGGAGACTCTTTCCTGAACCCCAGACTAAACCACAGCGCTCTGTTTTATGTCCCTAGCGCCCCATATGGTGACATCATAGCACTACTTAGTTGGCAAAACGTTTAGTTGTGGAATTGTTTGAAGGACTCTTTTCACTGACTCTAATTTCCTGAAGAGTGGGGTCCACGTTCATCTTGTTTCGCCACCATTTCACATGTATCCTGACTTACAGCAGGGGTTGGATTAATACTGAATTCATGTCGTTTTTCATTGTTTTACCTTTACATTGTGATCAAACTACACACATGCATGTCTCATTTTATCATGCTTTGTAGATACTGCATTTTACACAAAGTTGAAAGCTTGTGGCGACCCTGCATCAAGCAAATCTTTTGCCACTGCCATTTTTTCCACGGGTCACTTCGTGTCTTGCTGTCATATTTCGATAATTCTCACACTATGTCAAATTTTTAATAATTCAATTGCACACTTAGTAGACTTTCTAGTATAATGTAAGCATAATTTTAATTTGCACTGTGTTGTTAAGTGCTGTCCAGTCAGTTCCGACTCATAGTGACCCTGTATAGGGTTTCCATGGAGCAGCTGGTGAGCTTGAACCGCCGACATTGCAGTTCAGCGCATTAACCAACAGCGCCACACTAGGAGATACACTGCTGTTGTTATGTGCGTCGAGTTAGTTCCGACCCATAGCTATCCACTTTGTTGTTGTTAAGTGCTGTAGAGTCGATTCCAACCCATAGCTACCCTTTTATAGGGTTTCCAAGGAGGAGCTGGTGAGCTTGAACCACTAGGAAACCTGAAAACTCGTGTGGCTCACTTTATGGGGATAGTAACTTTATTGTGGTCTGAAACCAGACCAGCAATGTCTCTAGGAATGACTGAATACAAGTTTTTATTTAACATAATCACTACTAGGGTATTTCTGTTATATACAAGAGGGGGGCTTTAAAAAGCTAGCTGTTAAGTGCCGTTGAGTTGATCTCGACCCATAGCAACCCTGTATAGAGTTTCCAAGGAGCAGCTGGTGAGCTTGAACTGCTGACCTTGCAGTTCAAACAGCTTTACAGTCTGGCACATTAACCCACAGTGCCACACCAGGACTCCAAAAAATTAATAGAATGGAATTAAAAGATAATGGAATTTTCCCACAAACTTTTTGAAGTCCCTCATGTATAAATTCTTCACTGTACCTTATTGAACCAGAATTGTGTCCGAATTTATCAGTCACTAAATGAAGAACATTCATTTTCAGTTTTTCACTAATGTAACTGTGCAGTGGACACCCTGTGCATTGAATTCGAACCCTTGTGTTTCTGTGGCATAAACTTCTAGCAATAGAAATGACAGTTTGAAGACATTACATTTATAGTTTTTGTATGTTACATTTTTTATAGCTTTTATTACATATATGCTTGGCACTTTTCCCACTCATCTAACAGGCTGAGGCAGACAAACTTGTGTGTTGTTAAAGGCCTAGGAAACATGGTTTTCTCATGGAAAACTGGTATTGACAAATGGCCTTCCAGATGGTGCAGTCACCCTAGCCACAGCAGTGCACTACCACTCGTCTGTCAGCTGGTCCTATTGCGGTCACTTGCATGTTGCTGTGATGCTGGACGCTATGACATCAGTATTTAAAATACCAGCTGGGTCATCCAGCGTGGACAGATTTCAGCAGTGTCCAAACTAAGACAGACGAGGAGGAAAGAGAGGAGAGTACTTCTGAATGTTTAGCTACTGAAACCCTTACAAATAGTGGTAGAATATCGTCAGATTTTGTTGTTGTTGTTAGGTTCCATTGAGTCGGTACTGATTTATAGCGACCTTATGCACAACAGAATGAAACACTGCCTGATCCTGGACCAACCTCACTACTGTTGCCACGCTTGAGTCCATCGATGCTGCCACTTGGCCAGTCCACCTCACTGGGGGTCTTCCTCTTCTTCTCTGACCCTCCACCTTACCAAACATGATGTCCTTCTCCAGCAACTGGTCCCTCCTGACAATTATGTCCGAAGTATGAGAGACGAAGTTTGGCCATCCTGGCCTCCAAGGAGCACTCTGGAAACGTTACGAATAGCACCAGAATATCGTCAGTGGCATCAGGAATGGTGTTGAAGTGTAACAATTGTGAGGATGGTGGAGGACCAGGCAGTGATTCCTTCTGTGGTGCATTAAAGTCACTCAGAGGCGACAGTACCTGCTTTCCTCGCCTTTCATCATGCAAATTTTTATCAAGCTGAATCAGTTATTTCATTGGTTTGCATTTTTTTTTTTTTAATCCCAGTGAGATTAAGCGCTCAGCATGTTTATCAGTCACCAGAAGCCGGCTCAGGTCCTTGACCTGTGGGGGATGTGGTCTGTTATCATTTCCTAAGTGATTTGTAGCATTTTTATATTAGGGATATGAACTTTATAGGTCAAGTATATTGTAATGGAGTCCTGGTATGGGGCTGTAGGATAAGCACTCAACCATAATGTTGGTTTGAACCACAAGGTTGGTGGTTCAAACTCACCAGATGTTTCTTGGAAACACTATACAGGGTTGCTACTGGTGGGAATGGATTTGAAGGCACTTAACAAGATACTTTCATAATTATGTGGTAAGAACAATCTTCCTAAGCATCACATGGGGTCCAGAAGCCTCAAAAAAGAAAAGAGATTGATACATTTGGCTCCTAAGAATTTGAAAAAGTTTGCATGCTCAAAGACAGCATACACAAAATTGAAAACATTTCAAAGGTCAGAATGGGAGAAAACTAATGCAAGTGTTAAGTGCTGCGGACTCCAAATTTATCAATCTTTTTTGTGGCTTCTGGACCTCAGGTAATGTTTACGAAGATTATTCTTACTACATAACTATGATCTTTTGTTAAGTGTCTTCGAGTCGGTTCCCACTGATTGTAGCCCTGTCTGTATACATGTCCGAGAGGCTGGTGAATTTGATCTGCCAACGTTGCAGTCCAGTGCACCACATGAGGACTCCGAAAGTATCATGGTGCCCACCAGTATTTGTTTCATGTTTAGTTAAAACACTTGGAAGAAATTTTCATGTACACAATGATGATTGTCTTTAGACACTCAATGTCCCCAACAGGTCATCACTGATGCGACATACCACTTTTATTATGTAAGCAGGTCAATGTGTATGTACACATACATAAAAATGCATATGTGTGCATGTGAGCAATAACAACATTGATTCTTCAGGTTGATAAGGAATTATAATTTGTGGTCTAGTGACATCTTTATGGTGCTGAGTCTTACCACCCAGAGTATGTCTACTTAACCTCATCTTCCTTTTCATTCTCCATGAAACTTTTAGCACTCTCTTTGTATCTGTATTCATATTCAAAGTCTTCAAGGACAAGGAAAGTCATGTAAAGAGTAAAATAAAACAGGTCAAATGAAAAAATGAGGTGTTTGGGATTGGAAAACTGGAGAATGCATGTCCTCCTGATCACGTCCGTTTGAAACCTGATGTGTAACAAACCAAATAGGTTGTGGGCAGCCAGTTTATAATACTGACCGATAGCTTTGGTGTCCTTTCCCAGTTAGCTTTGGAATTAATCTAGAAAGAAGCTTAACAACTTTTTCCATTTTAAATGCCGTGTCTTGTGTCAGTATTCTCACTCCAGTGGGAATTACAAGAAGGAGTTTCAGTAACACTTTATGTTCTGTTCTTTGGTTATTTATTGGTCTCTTCAAGTTTCTTTTAATTTCTATTTTTGTTTAAGTGACACATCTCAGTAAATTCTACTATCTTATTAAAAATGTGACTCCTTAGAACTGTTAGGCATATAATGAAGTTACTTTTTTTCTTACCAACAAGATCATAACTATGTATTTATGCCCTGATGTTGAGAAACCACTATCTCACCCTACACGCACACTCCTCACTTACTGACGTGGTTAGGGTTCCAAGAGCAGGTCCTTATGCAAAAATTGGCCTGACACAAAAATGAAGGATGACCCAAAAAATGGAAGATGACTGACTACACGCCGTTATACAAGTTCAACATCACATAGCGTATCTGCCACACCATGGAGACTCATGAGCCAGCCACCGCGACACAGAACCTTAACCATCACAGGCATCTTGTCTCGTTACTGACATGAACATCGTTAATGTGCCAAAGTCTTCATTTTTGACTACTGTCATAAATGTGAAATGTTGGATAATGACAAAATCATTAAGTGAGGAATAGGTGTATAATCATGGAATATCCTATATAGAATAGCCTCAGCCCTCACCTTTACAAGTCTGACCACTGTTCCTAGTCAAAAACCCTTTACAATTTCCCTCTCCTGAGATGCTGCTGCTTTTTAAAGTTCTGTGATTATGGCTGAGTGACTAGCTCTTCTTTGTATACTGCGGTGTCTTTTTGTTTATATCAGTATTTACTGAGTTCTTACGTTCTGCTAGGCACTCTGCTGAGCACTTTACTTACGTTGTCTCATGAACCTCTCCCATTAATTTGTGAGGTAGCGCGATTATTATTCCTGTCTTCCCCCAAAATCAGGGAGCAAATCTTAAAGCAAAAATTGCAATTATTTTGATGATGGAGTCTAAGTTCTTAATTCTGATTAAGTATCCAGAAAATGGGCTAACGTTGGTAGGACAGGAGTCTGGAAAGCAGACTGGAGCAAGGTACTACTGGGGGTTGGGGACTTTTAGTCATCTTGAGGATAGTGTGCTTTTAATTTAAGAACTGTGGAATGGGTTTCAGTGAAGGAGAAATCATATGATTAAACTTATGTTTTTTAAAAAAATATGTTTGGCTGCAGTGTGGAAAACTGAGAGACAATGGAAGTAACAGGGAGAACACTTAGGAAGCTATTTCCACATCAAATCGATTGAATCCTAGACACAGACAATAGCATGAAATATATTAAAGGATCAAATTCCAACTGTATTTAGGTGATATAAGCTACAGGTCTTGGAAACTGATTGAATGTGGAAGGTGAGGGAGAGGAAAGGGTCAAGAATGACTCCATAGTATGAATTCTCTCATGATGAGCGAGGTGTGCTCTCTGTCTGAAAGATTTCCTGCAATCCTTACATTCATAGGGTCTCTCTCCAGTATGAATTCTCTGGTGTAAAGTAAGAGACCCACTATAGCTAAAGGCTTTTCCACAAATATTACAATCGTAAGGTTTCTCTCCAGTGTGAATTCTCTGATGTTGAGCAAGGCCTGCATTTTGGCTAAACGTTTTCCTACATTCTTTGCATTTGTAGGGCTTTTCTCCCGTGTGACTTCTCTGATGTTGTGCAAGAGATGAACTGTTGCTAAAGGCCTTCCCACATTCAACACACTCATAAGGTTTCTCTCCAGTATGGACCCTCTGATGTTGATCAAGGTATGCAACCTGGCTGAAGGCTTTCCTACAAACTTGACACTCATAGGGTTTCTCTCCAGTATGGACTCTCTGATGCTGGGCAAGGTGTGCGTATTGGCTGAAGGCTTTCCTGCATTCCTTACACTCATAGGGTCTCTCTCCAGTGTGAATTCTCTGATGTACAACTAAGTACCCACGATGGCTGAAGGCTTTCCCACACACGTGACACACATAAGGCTTCTCTCCTGTGTGAATTCGCTGATGCTGTGCAAGAAATGAGCCATTGCTAAAGGCCTTGCCACAGTCAGTGCATTCAAAAGGTCTCTCTCCAGTGTGGACTCTCTGATGCTGGGCAAGGTGTGCGATCTGGCTGAAGGATTTTTTACATTCTTCACACTTATAAGGTTTCTCTCCAGTGTGGACTCTCTGATGTTGAGCAAGGTGTGCATTCTGGCTGAAGGTTTTCCTACAGTCCTTACATTCATAGGGCTTCTCCCCAGTATGTATTCTCTTATGTTGAGTTAGGTTGGCACTCTGGCTGAAGGTTTTCCCACATTCAACACATGCATACGGTTTCTCTCCAGTGTGAATTCGTTGATGGAGAGTAAGGGATGAACTCTGGTTGAAGACTTTCTCACATTCATTACATTTCAAAAGTTTCTTTTCTATACAGACTTTCTTAGGTTGCATTTCAACAGATTTTTTCCGATAGTTTTTCTTTTGTGGCTCATGTTTATGTGCTCTTTCTTTGGTGGGAATGTTCTGTTGTGTGTCAAGAATTGCATCCGGATGGAAAGCTTGCCAAGATTTACTGCATTTACTTCCTGGTTCTTCAGTAAGGACTTCCTGATGCGTCATCATCAATTGACTTGAATGTGCCTCTTGACTTCCCAAATGGCTCTTCAAACAGCCCTTATTGTAACAGTCCTCTCTCAGACTGGAGCAGTCAAGGCCGTAACTGAGAGGACTCGGACCTACTTTTATCACTTTGGATCCTTCTTCATATAGAGTTTGCTTTGATGAAAATTCACTGTTTCCAAATATATATTCCCAACCTAAAAAATATCAAGAAAATAAGCATCTTTTGTATATATGCATTTTAAAAAAACTTACAGAACAAAAGTGAATAAAATATGTAAGAAGCTCAGGGATTTAACAGCTCTTAGCCGTCTGATCTGCAAGGTTGGTGGTTCAAGCTCACCAGCTGCTCCTTGGAAACCCTATACAGGGTCGCTATGGGTCGGAACCGACTCAACGGCACTTCACAACAACAAAAACAATACTGTGATGCTCTCTACAAAGTAGGGCAGTATACAAAATGAGAGTCTAAGAAAGTTGACTATAGAAACTGATCATATGTAATCAGGAAGGTAAATATCGGAAAAATAACAAATTTAAGAAGTCACGTGAAATTATAATCATCATTTTATTTTTAAGTTAACATAGCAATTTCTTTTTTTTGCCTCTGGTTACCCCACATTCAAATAAGTTAAAAAATGTAAAGCTGTTTCTTGGGTTTGTTTTTACTTTTAATTGTACTTTTTGGTGAGCGTTTATAGAGCAAATCTGTTTTCTATTCAACAACTCATACTTACTTTGTTTTGTGAAATGGTTGGCAAGCCCCATAATGCAGCAGTCCTATTCCCACTTCCTTCTATGCTCACTGTTCCAGGAAGTCCTGCCTTATCCCTCTCTGCTTTCTGAACCTCACCCCTGCCTGGGTAAATGCTGCCTTTTTTATCTCATATGGTTGTAGGTGATTTCTTCAAGCCAATGTCACAATTCAAAACTATGGCTCTAAAAATGCCATAAAACCCCCAGAATCAAAAATACTCCAGATGCTATTTGTTGCCTCTGGCTGTACATGAAACTCTACAGCTAACATTGTGCAGTCAGAAAATGCTTTTCCTGAAAATCCTTTACTATGCAATGTATTCCAACCATGGTAACTTTTCCATTGATCCATGAACCAAAGGTGCCTTGATATAAAAATAATTTTACATCGAATTACTTTGAATAATAATAACACCCATGATTCCTACTGTTATGCTCAGAATTTGGGGTCCCTACAGACCACCAAGGAGTCGACACCGATGCAAGTGCACAAGGGTTGTTTATTCAAGCTCGAGCTCGGACTCCACCTACATCCGACGCAGCGGATTAGGGATAGAGCCCCGAACCCTTTGTCTGTGGGGTTTTTATAGTTTTCAAACAAGCTTGGGTTTCTCAGCTTTACAATTTTTGGATTGGTTAACAATTGGCAAACTATGAGATGTTACAGTTTAATTGGTCAGGACTGGTGGTCTTTGCTCTTAGGCTAGGGCAAAGGAAAACATCTGGCATCTGGCCTTGAGCTGCCTGGCTATTTATACATATATCATTTTCTTGAAGCTAGAGGACGTGCTAAAGCTTATATACAAAATGGATTCTTCTCTTTGGTCCTACACTACCATGTGCTACAAGGCACTATCTGATCTAGCCCTCTCAGACCGTATCTTTGGCTCTTTTCTTCCTGGCTTATTCCACATTAGCTCTGTAGTTATTTGGTCTATTCCACTTTAAGAACATTAGATTTACTGTTTCTTTAGTTGGCAAGGCCTTTTCCTTAGATATTTGCTTGACCCAGTTTTCATAGAACTGTTAGAACGCCTCACATTTTACATTTTTTAAAAGAAAGCAGTTTATTGTATGTAAATTACTTAATAAAGTTGTTAACAAAAACAAATGGATGGTAATTAAAGATAGCCTTTAATAACATAATTGCAAAGTAACATTCATGCTATATAAAAGGCTCTCTACATGCAAAATAGACTAGACTTTGGAACCTATGAAACACTTACAAAAATGAACTAGTTCATAAAGAATCTACAAATAGTGAAAAAAAGGGAAACTAGCACTATTTGATTAAATACAATAAAACTATCTGATAAAAAATAAAGAACCAGAAAAGTATCCTTTAGTGAAAAGGAAATGAAAAGTTGAGATTCACTAGAAAACAGTAACAGAAACCCTAAATAAGGCGCTGTGGGTTCATGTGCCAGACCGCAAAGCCGTTTGAACTGCGAGGTTGACAGTTCAAGCTCACCAGCTGCTTCTTGAAAACTCTATACTGGGTCGCTATGGGTCGGAACTGACTCGACGGCACTTCACAACAACAATGAGACAGTTTAAGCTATCCATGAAGAAAAATTCATAGCTCTTTATAATTTCACTACTGATAAGAAAGACTGAAATGAAAAGGACAGGCATTCATTTTAAGAACACTATGAACTATAGAAATCTACAGAAATTAGAAGGAAAGAATTAGCTAAAGAGAAAAGCAAAAATATAGAGAATTAGAAGACAGAAAATAGAAACACTAATAGATAAGTCCATGAGATCTTTAAATCCATGGATCATTAAAATAAATCAATAAAATGGACAAAACAGAAGTAAACTAAAAAAAAAAAAAAAAGTTGTACAAAATAAGAAATGAAAATGAGAAGTTACCAGAGATATAAAATGAAAGGAATTATAGACTATTACTTGACTCAAAGCCACTTGATAAATGTAAAAGGATAAACGCTAAACCGCAACCCTAAACCCCGTGCCATTGAGCCAATTCTGACTACTAATGACCCTACACAGGGTTTCCAAGACTTTAAAGGGAACAGATGGCCTCATCTTTCTTCCATGGAGCTGGTGGATTTGAACCACGGACCTTGTGGTTAGCAGTTTAGTACATATCCTACACTGCCACCAGCGCTCTAGAAAAATGTTAGTTTACAACAGTTGACCCAAAGACATAAATTGCAGAGACAGTACAGTGAGCACGGTGAAGGCTGGGATTTGAAGGGACTACTTGTTTTGCCAAGGAGCTCTGGTAGTGTAATGGTTACGAATCGGACTGTGAACCACAAGGTCAGCAGTTCGAAACTACCAGTGGTTCCATGGGAGAAAGAGGAGGCTTTCTGCTCCAGTAAAGATTTACAGCCTCGGAAACCCTGTGCAGGGTCACTGAGTCGGAACCAACTCCATGGCACATAACAACAACAACAACTTATTTTGCCCGGTCTCGCCAGGTCCCCACCTTTGACAGAGGCAGTCTTAACCGCTTTTCTGTTGCTCCCGAGGAGTGCAAATCATTTCAGTTGTCCTTCTCTGACAGGTCTCCACCTTACACAGGTTCTGGCTTTCACAGTTTGTTATTTTTCTTAATTGCACCAAGAAAATTGGCAAAGATCCACTTCCTCCCAATAGCGTCTGAATTTGTTTCTCAAAACCTTAGGGACAGTGATTTCAGATGTCGCTGAACCTGACATCTCTTCAAAAAGGCTTTTGATTTGGGCCCCCGCCTCCCTATTCAATTGTTTGTTAACACTTCCTCTTAGAATATTCCCATCTTACAGCAACAATCAAGATTCTCATGTCCCAAACCATAAGAAAAACCATTGTTTCCCTTACCAACCTAATCGTTTTCCTCTGACTTGTTTCTATTAAATGCTGACACCATCCAATTACCCAGAATCGAAAATCCAACGGAAACAGCTTTCTTTTCTAAGAGTTTAACAAAACTCTGAACAATTGGACAAACTTAGCAGAAGACTTAGCTGAAAGCAGACACTCAATAAATCTACCTCAAAAAAGTCAATCAATCAATCTAAAAGGAAGGAGTCACGAGAAAAGGTGGGGGACGGAAGGTATTGCTGTATCTGAATATTTTTCAAAAAATGGAATGGAACAACGCAAGCAAACATAAAAGGCAAGGTTAAGGAGAAGTTGTGGATTTGGATCCAGAGAACAGGAACATGGGTTCTCAGAAAAGACAGTAAGAGGCGAGAAGAAATACACCAGGAAAATAAATTGGGGCACTCAAGCTAAGACTGCTTGAGCTTCGGAGAAAACTAGCCAGGAACCAGCCAGGATGAGCTAGAACCTTTGACCAAAGCTGAGTTCTTACCGGCAGTGGTTTCTACATCCCTGACTCTCTCACTCACCAGAGCACGTGCCTCTTGTCCTCTTCTTCTTCACCATCCAGGGCTCTTTTCCTTGTTCCAACAATGCGATCACATCTGGTTTAGAAACAGAAGCTCCTGCATGTAAGAAATAAAAGGGAAATTATCCAAGGCCAAAGACCTCACATGAACCATACCATGGCCTGTCAGAAGAACGAGCATTGTCTTAGAAAACGTACAACCAGAATGCTCCTTAGAAATAAGGGTGCTGAGACTTCATCTCATGGATTCTGGACTGTTCTCAGGAGGGACCTGTTCCTGAAGGACATCATGCTTCAGGATGCTAAGCAGAGGGTCAGAAAACAAAAGGACTCCCGCCACAAGATGGATTGAATAGTGGCTGCAGCAGGGAACTCAGCCACAGCACGGGTTGTGAGGATGTCGGGGGACTGGACAGTGTTCATTCTCAGTTCACAGGGTCACTATGAATTGGAACCAAGTGGACAGCAGCATAGATAAGAACAAGTTGCTTGTTTATCAGGAAGGCAGGAACATTATCAGAAAGCGTTGAAGGAAAGCTGAATAACACACATGAAAGATGCGGGGAGATACAGGTGCAGGAATACTCTAAGGAAGCTACCAATTCTACAAACGATTTTCGGGGTCCAGGAGAAACTTAGCGAAGCACATTCCCACTGGCAAGCAGCTCGGCATGCAGATTCTGAATCACAGGGAGGCGCCCTTACCCAGTGACACCAGGCTCCTATAGTTCTCCAACATCACCTTCCTGTACAAATCCCTCTGAGCAGGGTTCAGCCACTCCCACTCCTCCTGAGAGAAATCCACAGCTACGTCCCCAAAAGTCACCAAGTCCTGAAATGACAGGAGCACATTCTTCCTCGGCCAGTGTTCCCAACCTTACACAGGCCTAGACTGAAGAGTTAAACTGCCTCTACTTTTCTGGGAGTATCTCGGGTTCCAAGGGAACCTTGTCAGGTAAGTTCTTGGGCAGTTTCTTTGTGCTTAGCTTCGTTATTCTGTCATGGGAGAGGACATGAACAATTTCACAGACAGTTGTTGTCAAGTGGTATTGAGTCGGTTCCGACTCATGGTGACCTGTAACAGGTTTCCAAGAAGTGGCTGCTGGTGGGTTTGAACTGCCAATTTTGCAGATCAGGCTGACCTTGCAGTCCAGTGCATTATCCTGCAACACCTTGTGCACAATTTAAGAGCTAGTCTCTCTGTACTCTAGAATTTATAGTCCTGTATAGGAGAAAAGATTTATACCCCACACACAAAACTGGGCAACAAGAGGACACTATAAACAATCCAGGATAAAGCCGTATATTATTCATAGTCAATGTTACAGCATATCTCAATCTGGGGAAATCAGAATAGACAGGGACAGCAGAAAAATGACTTCAGTGAAGGGACAGACCCTGAGTTGAGACTCAGGATATGTTGTGTGGCTTCAATCAGCATTTTTTTAACTGTTCCAAAGAGATCAACCAATAAAAATATAAATAAACTTGTCCTGGTAATATCAACCTTCTAAAATTAAATAAGTGATGAAAATAAGCAACATGAATCTTCTAAAATCAAATACGTAAGCAATGAGAATAATG